AAACTCAGTTGAATGTTTATCTTTTAAATCATGAAATAAGGAAAACATCATTGCAGGCATACTTTACATTGAAAAATACTTAAATAGTATTGTACTGTATAATCCGTTTAGAAGTTTAGTGTTCCCTAAAAGTAAGTTAAATAATTTTGTTTCCATCCCAGCAGCTTCTTGTGAGCTGGGAGAAGTAGATTTCATGAATAATTGTTGTCTGACTAAATAATTCAATACCTAGATTACATTTATTTATATTTACTTGTACAGTGTTAATAAAGAAGTACGTGTACTGTACTGTACAGTATTGTGTTCATATCATCATAATCATCATCATTTTACGGCCATCCTGCATGGGGTAACTGTTTACCTGATGGCAGCTGTTAGGAAAAACCAAAACGGGATGCCCTACCCACTGCTCACAACCACAAACCCAAGGCACCAACCCAGAAAATGCAGCAGAGACCAGAGGATACACACAAGTCTGGTGACCCAATTGCCATTAGGCATGTTGAAGCAAGGTTTTGTGGCTGGATGCCCTTCCTAACACCAACACACAAGGTGGGAACAGCTGGCAAGGCAGGTTTACAACTCCCTGAGGTGATCAATGACTTCCTACTTACCTCAATAAATTGCAGGGTTGGGGCCAGCCAACTGCAGCGCGAGTAATAATGCACGTGGTAGCAGATGTTTTGTCAAATAGATCACGCAACAGCATGGATACATTAAATTTATTCTTTACAGTACAGTACAGTATATGTATTTATACTTTATTTATTTTGTTATCTACTTCATAAAACTTATGCTACCATGTGTATTATTCTTTTCAAGAAAGCAGCTGAGAAGAGTGCTATGTTACTGATAAGGGACCATTAAGCCTTCAATTCTATCAGGACCATCAACCAGCACTATACCATATCATTGGTTCCCATGTGACAAGAAGCAGCATCTAACAACCATTACCTCAAATCTTTGGATTTAATTTGACCAATATTAATTAAATAAAATTGTGTGAACACAATACAGTACTGTACTGCAATAACTTCTTATACATAAAAATAAGTTTAAATAAACATAATCATAATCAAGGTAATGGGGCTATACAGTACAGTGGGGTATGCTATAACGAATCTAATTGGTTCTAGAACCTTGTTCGTTATAGCATTAGTTCGTTATAGGATTCGTTCGTTCCAGGCCCCCAAATACAACCACTTAACACTGAAAAATATAATATAAAATTGTAAAAATTGTAAAAAAGTGCATACATATGCATCTAAACCCCTGAAATAAAGAATATCATTAATACTTGTAATAAAAATCAATAAATTAGGGAAAAAAAATTTAAATAATGTTCGTTGTAGGATTTTCGTTCGTTATAGCATTCTCAATTTTATAGGTAAAACCGTGTTATAGGAATATTCGTAGTAGGATCCGTTCGTTATAGCATACCCCACTGTATTACCCTGCCTAACGCGGTTTCACTTAATGCATTTTTTCATATACGCGGTGCCTCGCCAGAGCTGAACTTTCACTTAACACGGATTTTTTCCACATATACGCGGTGAGTGTCCGGCTCGAGACGCTATTTTTAGATTTGCCCCACCCGCCACCCTGCCTGACTGCCTGTTTTAGCTCATAAAATTCATACAAATTACCCGGCCAGAATATAATTTACATTGCTGGAATTCTTATAATTTGGTGATCATTTTGAATATAAACATCATATATTTTGCATTAGACATACAAATTTTAGATAAAATGTTTAATCTGAGTAAATATGTTATCTTTTGTGAAAAATATATGACATTTATATTCAAAATATTCCTGGTCTTACAAGGAATCCAGCAATGTCAATTATATTATCCTAACTTTAGTTTGAGGTATTATTTATTACTATACCTGGTTTTCCCCCAAAAAATTTCTCAGAGGGAAGAGCCAGCAGTGTAGTGTGAGAAGAGGGGGAGGGAGTTGAGTCCATTATTTGAATGGACATTAACTTGGCGACTGTATTTCTCTATTTCTCTTAAGTATTAATTGTGTGCATGTACCATCATAAAATTAAGATGTTATTTTTACTACAACATAGTTATGTGTCTTCAAAAAGTGGAGTTTGGGGGTCGGGCTGGTTTCTATTGGAATTAATCCCATATGTTCTGTTATTCACTTAACGCGGATTTCACTTAACGCGGGACCCTCTGGGTTCTATTGACCGCGTTAAGTGGGGTACAACTGTATACTGTATTCAAACAGACAATAATCACTTATGAACTCTACTTCTTGCAAATGTTTTGCAACTCACAAAAAGCTGCTGGCACATGTCTGTGCATTGGAAATCCACACAAGCAATGCCCTTTATCATGTGTTAAAATCGCTATATTGTACTGTACTTGCCAGTCCTTTACTCTACAGTGGGGTATGCTATAACGAATCTAATTGGTTCTAGAATCTCGTTCGTTATAGGATTAATCCGTCCCAGGCCCCCAAATACAACCAATTAACACTGAAAAATTTCTGCGGAAATTGTAAAAAATACGGTACTAAATCTTACCTTAGTGTTGTTAGTATGCAGGACAGGAGGCAGAGGAGGAGGGGGAAGGAGAGAATATGGAGAAGAGGTGGAAGGAGAGGAGTCATCCTTCCTAGCCCTCTTTGGTGACTGTCTTACAGGCACTTTGTCTGTTTATTTATAATTTCTTTCTTAGTTTCAAGGGTTATTAGCTTTCTCACTCGCTTTTGACGATTCAGTGTTACAATTGTACACTTGTATAACAAAATAGTTATAAAAATAACACGAATTTCCACATCAAAAGACGAAATTTCAACAAGTTCAGACAGGGGAGCACTGACTACACAATGAACCAATATGGCGCCTGACGCTCTTGTTGTGAGCCACGGTACAAAAATATTCATGTGCCAGACGAAATAGTCCCATATTCATCCGCGTTCGTTGTAGGAGTTGCGTTCGTTATAGCATTCTCAATTTTATAGGTAAAACCGTTCGTTATAGGAATATTCGTAGTAGAATCCGTTCGTTATAGCATACCCCACTGTACAGGTAGTTCTGCTATAACGCGATAATTGTGTTCTTGTAAAATATCGTGTTATAGAAAATCGCGTAATAGAAATAACAAGGCTTATGGAGAAAATAGGGTTTGGTGCAGATTACTCGAAATCGAAAAAATTTAGTAGTTAGCCTAACACAAAGGATAGCACAGTCTAAATAAATGTTACATTCGTATCTAATAATGAAATCATACAGTAAATGTAACACTTTACCTTGAAAAAATATGAATGTAACTTGATGGGGGAGAAGGGTGATTTTGAGGTTGATAACATCAAGCTTCTCTTCAAGTGTTATATCCTTTCTTTTACGATAATCACCGGGAATTCTATCATCAGAACGCTTTTTGGAGATATTCTTCTTTACCATATTGACAGTTAATACCACAAAATTGGAGAAATAGTAAGCAAAAATCGCGTTATAGCAAACAAGCGTTCGCGTTATACAAATATTGTTCCGAATTCATAAATCGCGTTAGAGCAAATTCGCGTTATCAAAACACGCGTTATAGCAGAACTCACTGTACAACGATTTTAGGAACGATTTTCAGGGGGGCACATTCTGTAAATTTAAAAAAAAATTCCCAGTCCGGAAAATCCCGGAGATGGGGAATATTTATCCGGGTTCGAGAGATAATGTAATGCACAATTTCCGGAACTTCTGAGAATATTTTTCCATTACCTGTCACATTTGAGGGATGAAGGATTTTTTCCGGCTTTGAGAGATGAAATAATGCATCATTTTGGAAATTCCGAGAAAAATTTTCCGTTACCTGGAAAATTCCAGGGATGAGGGATTTTTTTTTACTTTGAGAGTCGTCTCATTACCCGGAAATCTCATTCATAAGAACGGAGGAAACTGCAGTGGGCCTATTGGCCCATACTGGGCAGTCCCATTTACACCCAACCCCTATTGCTCATATCCATCCAACCTATGTTTGAAGCTATCCATCGTATTCGAGTCAAAATGACGTTTGTTAGCTTGTTCCATTCATCCACTACTCTATCTCCAAACCACGTTTACCTATTTTGCGCCTAAATCTAAATTTGTCTAATTTAAAACCATTGTACTCGGCACCACTTATTTTATAATGAACTGTACTGCAGTACAATATATTACTTATGGAATGCACTTATAATGTCCAATAACTAAATGATTAAAATCACTAAATTTAGGGAAGTAACACATGTAACTCTCACCAATATGCCAAGGGTTCGGGTCTTGGCCCACACACGTGAGAAGGGTGTTAACCAGTGTGACCCTACCAAACAACACAGGTTTCCCAAAATCCGGTTTCCTCATGTGCTAAAACTGGATGGACCAACTGCCCGAACAGTTAGTGTACTGATAAGTGGTGAAAATTATATATAAAAAAAACCTAAACAAGTATACAGCTACCAATGGTCTTCTGCATAAGCTATAATTATGGTCACATTTCAACCAATTGCATAAGTGACAAGCGTGCACACAAGACCCAGTGCAAAATGAGACCCCATTGTATATACTGTACAGAACATATTGGTTCATTACTAACAAGTCAGCAAATTTGATTACTCGGCCCCACATGTGTTGAGTTATGGGGATTTTACTGTACTGTATAGTGAGGGATACTTGTACAGTACATAGAATTTGCTATCAATGGTAAACATTGTTCAGTGTGTTGGCTCATTTCTACTTCTTCCACACACTCATTTCGAAGACAGTCCTCCAAATCAATTCTAAAGATATTACTATTTATACAACAAGAAACATATTACTATATACACAATACGTACTATAAACAATAGCAATATATTGTAGAACAGCATCAAGCTTTAGAACATGTGGCATGGCTGACCTTTGAAAGTACAGTAAATAAAACTAGTGAACACTGTATGTAACAAGTTAAAGTGATTACAACATTAAATTAACTCTTCTGTTTTTATTGTACTAGGATAAGAAACAACAATAAGCTATTGATTTTATTAAAAATAACAGGTCTTCAGATTCTGAAGACACAGAACTATTTGCAAAGCATCCATTATTTAAATGATTAAACACACTATAAAATTAGAATGCAATAAGCAACAGTATTCAATTAAATTAGTGAACCAACCACTAATTATGAAGTAAATAAATAAGAAGCTGTCATAAATCATCTCCTAGCCCAAATTTCCCATAATTATAAGACCAAGCGTACTAGATATATTAGTGGTGGGACTCGTGCTAAGACACTTGGTTCCCCGTAGGTAAGTCAGAGGTGATTTTGGGGGTAAGGGAACATATCCTGTCAAAATGTGTTACTTTAACAAACTCATATCTGGTAACCAATAACATGCAGAATCTTCTCCACATACGTCAGTCACTGTCTACTGTCATACTTGTTACTGTGGACACCCTATCAGTAACACCTGAAGCATCTGATAAATAATATCTGCATCTGTTTTTGCTACTCCAATGTTATGTAACACAAGAGTCTGGTAACCACATCTCCTGGTCACATTCGATCCTCTTTAGAAATTTAGCAGTACAGTAGCTTTAAAATGAGTGTTATTACTATCTCAGTCTTGATATTTCATCCCACTACAATATCTTCAGATCATGTGACACTGAACATTACAGTAGAAAGTAAGGAAAAATTTAAATACATTCTTAATAATACTTGTGTCCATACCACCTTCTATAAAAACAAAATACTGTACAGCAAAAATTAAATCATTCACAGAATATACTATTTGTTTATAATCTAATGCTGAAGATTCCAGTATTGTTTTGATTGACTATATTACATGGGGGGGTCATGGGAGTTAAGTGGGCAAGGCGCCATGAGGAAGTGAGTCCTCAATGGATAGGGGCTCAATACATTATAAATTCCATTTAGGATAACAGGTCTGTAAGTACAGTAGTCAATTTTCCATCAGGCGGGAATTACAGAAAGGATATGACATTCATTTGAGATCATGGGTCAATGATAAAATGGTTATACATGTTTGGGGTTACATACAGAATGCATTAAATAGGTCTGTTTACAATATGGTGTCAGGCTCACAGATCACAGGTTACATTAGAACTGGAAATGACCAGTTACCTAGAAAGAGGGTATCTAGGGGGGATGTTTAGCTGTTTATCTTTAAGGAGTTAGTGTATTTATCATTGGCAAATGCTAAGTTGCCAGACCTAATACAAATGGAAACAGCCTGAGAGACAGTCAATAAGTAATTTTTTTATTAGCTACATTTAGATCCATTCACTGGGTTTATGGGATTTAGACAATTTATCAATATGGAGTACAGACATGAGGACATGCAAAGAACATTCTACATAAATAATAATACAAATCAAATATTCAACTAGAATATAATCTCTGTGATGTTTATCGGTAACAAAGTTTGTAAGTGGTTGGAAGTTTTAAATACCCAAGAAATGCAATTAATAAATATTGAAGATTTAAAATTCATAAATAATATTTGAACGAAGAGGGGTTGCAGCACCCATAAATGCATACTTAATTGTACAGTACAGCAGATGTTACAGTAGGTGAAGAGGTTTTGCCATGGAGGATGCATGACCAGAATGAGAAATAATCAAGTAATAAAATACCAACTTAAACTTTTATTTGGTTACTCTAAAAAATATAATAGGAGGTTAAAGTAAAAAGAAAATAAGGCATAGAAAATAATTTGGTGGGGTAAACTTTCCAGCAACACACAAAATATTTTGTAAAACAGAAACTGGTCCCAGAATTATAGGTACTGTAACACCATAATGCATGCAGTCTCAAATTTTTCCATGGCCAAACAACGGAATGAGTTCGTTAACCGAGGGGTCACTGTATATATATATACGGTAGTGTACATTATCACATTTTAGCTACAACTGCAAAAAAGGATGCCTTTTGAGAGTGAGAAAATAAAAAATTGTACAATAAAATTTTGGCAATCTTAGAGTCTTGACTGGTAGAGTGACATGGACCATACAAGTTGTACTTACCTACAAATGACCTTTAGAATAATGAAAGATCAAAGCCCATTCTACAAAGTGAAAAATGGGGATGTAATCAGTATACTGTATCCTGAACAAGAAAGCTGTCAATTGATTGATTGATTGGGTAAAAATCTGGCGTCGCAGCCTGTGGCTATTTGACACCAAAAATGAGAAAGTTGTCAAAACTTGGAAAAAAGTGAGCATGCATGAAATACAATAGCACATAAATATTGATAAAGGTTAGAATTGGATCAGCCACCCATGGGGCCACAACAAACATGCACTGTAGGGGTTCACACAAGGGGGTGTTGATGGGGATTCCCCAGCATGTCTTCCTAAATGGTGCTTTTGTATTTTTAACTATCAAATGTGTGGAAATGTGCAGTGACGGGCGTGCATGGAGATATTATGCACAAAGCTTCCTATTTTTTACATGGTATATTAATTACTTGAAAATGGATGTACAGATAGGTGCTCGACCAAGCACAAGAGTAACTATTACGCAAAAACTTTTTGATTATGCAGCAACCAAGAAAAATATATGTACTGTATACAATATTGCGGGGTAAGGTGGAAGACAAAAGGTATGTTAGATGGGAGAACTAAGTTTGAGAGATCTTGCAAGGCAACTAATAATAAAATAAAAAGTATGAAGGTATTTATGCAAGGTCCACCATGCATCTCATTCAATACATGTTACAAGTATTAATATGAATAATTATTTCTAGTTCATATCATGACACATGCACGAGAGATTCCGTTACTTTACAGAAGTTAACTGATGTCTGTTCCCTTACCCCACCCCAACTTTGAAATGATGTAAGTTACCTTGAATTACATCGGCTGTTCCTGTGTGAATTGTATTCACAAGTCAAAAGATAGATAAGCATATGCCACAGAATTAAGATAATCATCTACATTTTGTATACTGCACGTGTAATAATCTGGTTTGCCTCCATTGTCTATTATTAGCTGCCATGATAAAAATATAGTCAAGTACAATATTGTTATAACAGATGGCATACAGAAGTCTTATCCTATTCTAATGCATCTCAAATCATTAGAAAATCCTTGCTACTTACTGCTTAAAATGAATAGTTATTGAAGGGTTCAAGTTTGGCTAAAATATTAATTATAGTATTAAAAATAAATAAAAATAGTTTCAAAATATTACAAAGGGCATAATATAATTACAATTTATTCTTAGCATTGTTCTATCCAATGAAGTAACCTCAAAAAATTCTTATTTACATTCTACATTTTACAGAGATAGAAAAGGATGTATGACAAGGCTGTTCCAATCCACTCCTGTGCCTCATTCATGTTGTTGTCAGGCACTGTCCACCTTCCACCTACCTGAACTATGGATCACAATACCTAGTACTGCAAGTCCCCATCATCATGATAGTAGAGAAAAAGTACCTTAAATAATATACACACTATCACTTGTCTTATTAATATATTCTGGGGAGATCTGGCATTCTCTAGCGGGTGCTAGCGTCATCCACACGCTACACAAGGGACTACCATACTACACAGTTTTAACATATCAATGGGATTGCATCCATGTATTTGACATACTGACAGTGATTGTGTCAATGACATTCATAATCAAATTTTCACCTAAGGCACAAATGTCTATTGTACTTATAATATCAAATTTATTTTAGAGCCAATGGACTACAGTAACTTCAATCAAATCTTATCTCATGTACATTGTACATGTGACTACATAAGAAACAAAATACTTCACAAAATAGGACCAAAATGAGTGATGTTTGAAAAAAAGAAAAATATTAATTCTGCCTCATGTAGTGAGGACATGAGCTCATGTAAGTCTGACACTCTTGGCACTTATGATTCATTTCTGCTAAACTATACAAGCAAGTGGCAACTTATACAAGACACAGGGGAGACTTATGTGTCATGCACTTCCTTATGAGTCAGCTAAGTACAAAAGGAATTACATGAATTTATGAAAATAAATGCTTCACATTGTACTGCACCAATTTTTCATATCAAATTGAAATTACACAAATGAAAATGAACAAGCAACAGCATGGGTTCCGTCTCATCCACTCCCTTGACAGGAGCCGAATGACATCCTTACAATAACTTCAGCCTTCCCTTGTGTCTACACTTATGTACTGGTCCAACTTTCTCAACTAATTCCTAGTTAAAAAATTTGATCGTTAATGGAGTAATCTGGGAGGAACAGAATTAATTGCAGTATTATGTACATTACATAAACTGGAGCCTCCATTAAGAAACAAAAATATTTACTTAACTATTCAAACCATCACAGTCCTTGAACTAAGAAAATTTAATTAACACAAAATAGGAATCCGATTCATGCACTGCCACTATCAAATACTTGATATCAGTGCACATTGTAAGTCTACAGAGAACATAATGACCAGTCCAGGTAAAAGGTCTACGTACAGGATATTTACTTCAAAATGAAGCTACAAGTAAAGGAAGTTTCTTGACATAAACTTCCACAAAAGGACTACAGGTACAAGAGTCAAAATGTGAAAACAAGACTGATTTACCCAAACATAGATGGTTTATGTAAAATTCATCTTTTAAGGAGCTACCACCAAAAATACTGTACTGGATATGATACAAAAGAGCACATAAATAATCAGAGAAGGATGACTGAGAATCATTCATTTCTTTCGAAGTAGGTCATCCTCAAAGAGTTGCAAAGTAATGACTTGTCTAAAATACTTATGTTTTCCCTAAGATGGTTCTCTCTAAAACTCATCACCGTGACACTTATACAGCATAGCATTCAGGGTACTCGGCCTTAGTAGGCAGGTTTTGCTGACAGTGATCATCACACGTTTCAAGGCAGACCTAACCATCTACTATATCAACCCTGAGACTGTCATGCAAATAAAGAGGTTTAGGCAAAAATAATAGGAAGCCTGAATTTTGTCTCTGACTATGGCATAAACAAGTCAGTCTATTATGAAATGTAAAAAAAAAAAAAAGTAGGGAGAGGAGGAGGATGTAAATAGGGGATAAAGAGAAGGAGATAGAGGAGGTAAAGAGAAAGAGGAGGTAGAGAGGAGGAGGAGAAGGACACAAACGACAATGAATCATAAACATATGCTCTGCCTCATACAAGAGCCATACAGCTTCACCATCACAATAGGGGACATTCACTCATAGGAACAAAAGGTAAAAATTTTCTGCAGTTCCTTGTCTAGCTAGAACTATAGTCTCTATCTATCAGCGATGCTTCTGATTGCCAAATGTGTCATGATCTCACCTCCACCTTTTTGGAAATTCTCAAATTATGTTTTGCACTGGAAATATTATAGCTTATATGACTGTTAGCCATGAAAGGTATTAAAAAAGATGGAGAGTACAACAAACACTCAATAATTATTAAATATTTTGCATGTTAACGAGAGAAAAAATCAAGTAAATATGTGTGTACTGTATTTACACTTTTGTTCTTATAGACCTGACTTGTTACTTTCTGTTTTTGTCTTGCACCCAACTCCCCTATCATCTCCCACTTCCATTGTGATTTTTACACCTTTTGCTCCATCCCAAACAAAATTGAGAGAGGTATGATGATTATAGGTTCATAAGTCAAAATATTGTCAGTAGTGTTGAAGACCTGTTGGTCGAGTCAAAACAGATACAAATTTATACCCGAGTTATCTTTTGAATATTTAATGTTGCCATCTTCAATGAACATGGGAAATAAAACTAGTTTACCAATCAATCAGATTTCTTATCCAACTAATTATTTTGATAACTTATGCTGTACAGTATAAGTATTTGGGACTTAATTTCATATTAGCTGAAAGCCTTTTGTGTATTACTTAGCTCTCCAATAAGTGAAGTTCATCTTATGTTTCAAATGACTTTTCCAATATGAGGTAAAGGAAGAGCATGTATAAGGACACAGTGTTTGGGAGAGATAACTATATAATGCACAGTCAAGCTACAGCCAATGAACCATTTCCCACTAACCAGTAAGGAAGCCCACGTTGACACTAATATCATTTCCCTATTTCCACTACAGGAAATAGTTAACTTATCATTAATCAAGTAATGACAGAATTCTTTTTGGTGCTGACATCTCCTGCTGTGTGTGTGTGTGTGTGTGTGTGTGTGTGTGTGTGTGTGTGTGCACAGGAAACATGGAGACTACCTATATCCAATGAGCCATCTACTATTATCCAACACGGTAAATACGTCATAGTCTCCTCTTTAACACTAAATCATTGCACAACTCCTGAGATACAGACATTTTCAACCCTCTCTCAGTCACACTCTGTCTCTTGGCCACTCTGTCCCACAGCCTTTGCTCACCCTCAACCATTTTGACCAGTGACCACTTTGTCCCTTGGCCACTCTGTTTCTTTACCCCATCTCTAAGTTACCCCCATCTTCCTTCCTCACTAACCTCCTTTAACATATTCATATCCATCCCCACCGCTATATTACTCCATCCCGGTGTCTGCAGATGCCACTACATCACCATAGTGAAGATCATGTTAGGTTTACACGAGCTGATAAGAAGTCTACTGTATATTACCTAATGTAACTGTCATACATTTGTTTTTACTAATCATTGTCAGCCTTATAAAAATGTCTATACATGATGCATATATCACCATAAGTAGAGCTCGATTTGAATTTAAGGCAGTTTGTTTAGGACGTGGCTAATCATTCACACGATGGATACAAAGCTTACTGGAATAGGTAAGACTTTCACATGATCATTTTAAAAATCTTTATAATCATTAAAATTAGCCAAAATTTTAGTTTATCAATAAAAAAAAAAAAAAATAACTTTGAATAAAATCTAAATGACAAGTTAGTCAAAACTGACTAAATAATAAGCAAAAATAAATTATCATTTAAATATACAACTTTTATGGTCCATAAATATATGAATTTTATAATTCAATTTCTTTACTGTTCAAAACATATTATCCCTTCAAGTCTTTGCCAGGCAATAGGGACAAATAATTAGAAACACAATATAAGCTAAACTCAATGATGTTCAGTACAGTACATGAATGAAAACGAAACAAGTTAGATGTGTGAGACCAGAACACTCTAGGTTGAAGGTAATAAAGGCACCATATTTTATGGAGCAGATTCTACATGGACTAACCTGCATAAGGAGGGAGAAACACACTCTTAACCGAAAATACTGAGCTTCCGCCACCATGGACGTTAGAAAGGTAGCGACTATGCACAGGGAAAGTGATGACAATTAAAAAAGCAGAAGGAAACTAACACTCACTACAGAAAGTGAAGTACTAGCCTTCACCACCACAGACTGTCAAAAAGGAAGTGACTGTGCAGAGATAAGAAAATGACCAATTAAAACAGCCGAATGAATACTCGTATGAAGCTCAAATACGAAATGGATTTCCCAGACTCCTCCACCAGCAATTGAATGAACTCAATTATTCAAAAGGCTGTCACTTTGCAAAGAAAAAGAATAAGGAAGAGAGAGAGAGGAAACTGACACTAAAAACTTTTAATGAAGTACTAAAGCTCTGCCAACAGCAACTGAGTGGAAATTTTAAAAGGGGATGTCACAGGGAAATCACTATCTGCAACAGTGCTATAAAACAAACAGGTAACCCATATGGATGCTATGTTAGTGCAGAAGAGCACTTGAAATTTATTTTATTTTGGGAGGGATAAAGGACGAATTATTGAATTTTCAGTTCCTGAAGCTTATCTATATCAATGAAGTCATTTATTGAAGAACCTAATGCAAAGCCAATGACAAGAGTAATGAAATCCTTTTCATAGTGAATACACTCTTTGAAGGTAAGATCAAGGTGTGTTTCCAACAATTAACTCAACTCAAATCCTTTCACCAGTGGAGAGAGGTTTGACATGGCCAACTGTTTTGGGCCAAATATTTTTAAACTCATCTCAGTTCTTAAATAATAAAATAATTCAACAACAACAATAATTAGTATGAGTTATATCATTACATTTTGGAAAGGTTTATGGAACATGTCTCCCAGGATCACACTGTGCAGAACATGTCTCCCAGCATCACACTGTGCAGAACATGTCTCCCAGCATCACACTGTGCAGAACATGTCTCCCAGGATCACACTGTGCAGAACATGTCTCCCAGCATCACACTGTGCAGAACATGTCTCCCAGCATCACACTGTGCAGAACATGTCTCCCAGGATCACACTGTGAAGAACATGTCTCCCAGGATCACACTGTGCAGAACATGTCTCCCAGGATCACACTGTGAAGAACATGTCTCCAAGCATCAGATTGTGTGGAATTCTTAACTCAGATACACTGTCGCAGGTGTGAATGATTCAGTAGCCAAATCAATACTTATCAAGTACCAATAACAAAGTTGCTTAAAAGATTCCCCTTATAGCTGAAAAACAACTCACTGAAAACCTGAGAATCTCAACTATCTTAATATTAATGAAAGATAAGGTATAACAGAGGCTCCCCACAAAAAATTGTTTGAAGTACGCCCTTGGTGCTGCAATGGTCGCCCTCTTCCTGCCGTTACATCCACAATGCTGACCCAACACTTGGTCACAGTTTAACATTTTGCCAACTAACTTACCATAAATGATAAATTAAGAGGGTAATAGCAAGCTAAATTACAGCTTGCAAATCATCTCCAAAGCTTACAGCTATACCTTGTGGTTTTCTTACTCTCCCTAAAAGCCTATTGGTCATTATGGTATAAATTAGCAGGTACTACAATTAAGTTGCACTAAAGCTCATTGGTCATGTAGGTGTCAGCGAGGATACGAATGGCTCTTTGCTTCAACTATTGTCCAAGTGTTGTATCATAATTGGTTGGAAGTCCAAAGGATAATTTTAATCTTCCTGATGAAACTTACAATTTATGAATTATTTCAGAAATTATTATCATCCAAAACATAGCATAGATTAGAAATACTTATTGCTTAAAGCTTTATAAGAAGCAAAGTTATTTAAAGCCCCTACACCTGTGTAATCAAAGACGTAATAAAGTGAATGTTTTGCATCATACCTGTCATCTTACAAGGACTATCAGACAGTCCGATGCAGGTGAAGGAAGGCCTCACTATTGTCAGCAGCTAAAAGGGTCCAGCCAAAAGGCCAGGAAGAGTTGGAATGTGCGGTCAAAGACCACTGGGGTATCACAATGTTGCCACATTGCAGCCTAATTTCTACTCCCTTGGGATATTATGAGCACTGGTCTGTCATATGTAGGAATCGCCATCTATGGCTCTGACTACTTGGTACTTCTCATTATACATTTTTCTTGTAGTATGTCTGTCGATTATACAAATATTGCAATACCAGTTATGGTATAAAGTTCTCACTAGCTCTATGCAATCACCAGGTCATGGGTAAGTACTATAATTCTACTTGAGATAATATTACAGATAAAAGTACTTACGAATGTGACCTATGCACCAATGTCCATTGTGGCTCTCAGCCACAGCACCAAATCAACAGCTTAATATAACCATGATTTCATATACTAGAGGGCACCTGACCTCCATCTGGAAATGTCAGAACTCTTGTAGAATATAATTCACTATATGAGTAAAAACATAAAGTGTTAAATTTAATTAACAATTGCATTACAAGTATACTCGATGGAATATCACCTACAAGGTAACAAAAAATTTTGTGTTTGGATTAGAATCTTGGCATCTTTAGCTTATAACAATGACAGCCTGTATGAGTCCAGTGGCCGATCCCGAGAGTCCCCGAGACAAATCACATAACCTGGGTGTGTGGCTACTGTCCAGGCTGGTTCAAAAGCAACCATCCCTCCAGTCATCCTGGGCTGGTGCCTGGAACCTGGGCTGAGCTATGCCTGACCTGGCAACACAATTACAATAATCAATACATTATCATCTCCTCCCTTAATGTTAATGTGTAGTCTGTGTACAGTATGTATATTAAAATTTTCATTAGTCAACTGAACAAGGTGTACTAAAATTAATCCTGTGGTTCTAGAGACCCAACACTACTATTTTTAACTGGTAGATCTGAAGATTTTATAACCTTTTCTTTAAATTAAAAAGTAGCCTGTTTCCATTTTTCTGTACTGTTTGAACATTATCAGTACAGTATAGAGATTTTATTTAATAATTTGTCGGCTAAAATTTCCTGCATTCACTAGAAAACAAGGAAGACTATGCCAAAAGCAACAGCAATTATGACACATAATATCCTAAACATAAACATTTTGCCAAGACACATGTTAGCTAATATCCATCTTTTCATCTATTACACAAGTTTCCATAGTTGTCTGAACCAAAAGAGTGTAGTTCTATGCACCAGCCTATTTAACATCAGTCAAAACCAGTGCTATGTCCCTAAATCTTAAAATTAAAGCAGCTAATTACCATAACACTGACCGCCACTTACGCTAAATATTTAAAAAGTTAGTGCCATGTTACTATTGCTAAATTTGCTGCTATTTTTTTCTGAAATAACCTCAATTCATATGCAGTATATGTTTTATCTTTGGTAATTTATTTCATATGTATAAGAAAAACAAACCAATGAAAGAATGAAAAAATGCTATTCATGAATACAGTACATCTACCTCTACAATCCAATTGTACAAATTGAAAGAAATTATAAAATAGATATTACTGAAATAGTGCTGTAGTAAATTGCATTAATTTTTTAACAAATTAAAACATTAGGTTATCAGTACAGTACTCTTAAACAATCAGAATTTTCTTTAGCTACTTCAAAATTTTTTTCTTAATTTTTAGCAGAAATTTTATAGATACTGTAGCTCACATTATGACTGGCTAGAGACAAGCAAAAAACACATGTCTACAATGGATTAGCTATGTGACTGTCCAGACCCGAGTTAACATTATGCTTGATCCAAACCATCTACAACAGGCAGTAACTTGTGACCAACAAGTTACAATTTACAGTTAGTGTTGCCTCAGTTGTATATAATGTGGTTCAGGCATAATATGTGATGACAAGTAGTGTTAGTATTATATCCCAATCATATATATATAACTCAGAAGTAGATGCCAGATATTGTTAATTGTTCAAGACTTTTGACCCCGACTGTACCTACTGTATATAGATCACCCTTGTTTATGCTGGCTTCACAAGCATGCAGTTAATTTTTTTTAGTTTTTACTACTCAAATTTCATCTGTACTGACTGAGATTCATCAGGCAGCAGATGCACATTGTGATTTTCATCTTTCCCTCACATAAAGTATCCAAGTAAACCATCTTATGTCAGTACTGTATACACCTTGAACATTGTCCAAACCTACTGCCATTGTTACACATAATGAAACTATAAAAGTTGTGGAGAAATCATTTCAATATTCTAATATGGCTTAGAAGTATGGAAAATATAATATAAAACTATAAAATAAGAAATATGAAGAGTATGGGTATGTATTCTGTGTCTCAAAGATGCAGTGGAACTCTCCTGGGCCAAAGCAGAGACCGCCGCGGCTAGTAGTGGAAGTTGTCAGACGCATGTACACAACCTCCCTTCCTTCCCATGCAACCCATAGCGCAATCCGCAGAGGGGCGAGGGCCGCATTGTTTATACCCGTGTAGTTTAAAGGTTTACTGTATTTCAATGTATGACGGCATTTTCTGATATGGCAATATTTTAGTAAACACTGGGTAAAGCGATCCAGACCAAAATTGCACCCTTAGAGATGCATCTGCCAGTCCACAAGAGTAGTGGGAGGAACTTAGGTGGTTGATAGGGCCGGTCCACTGTTCCAGCATTTCTGCTTACGGGAGGAGTACTCTCAGTGTGAGATATCTGCTGAGCAGGAGGAGTTCCACCAGCATGGGAGTGCTTAGCGGCACACTTTGCATCGGATGACCATGAGAGGGTTAAAAGCTTCTTTTAGAGGTGAATCTTGTGATCTGAACAATGGCTTTGCAGCCAATTGCAAAGGTTTTACTGTACATCAAATACATTTTAGGCCTGGTGCTCTAAATTCCAGAAAAACCCCTCAATCCGTTAACCCCCAAGTCCCAAGCATGAGGGATAAATGGTCCTATACCTGTACTAAAGTTTCTGTTCACTACACTAATTTCACATGAACACTGAACATTTTAATTACTTTTATAAAGAAAATTACATGATAAATTACCTTTGAATATACAGTACGGTATTTGGGTCAAGATTTCTGGATAAAGAACTTAGGTTAAGTAGTAGTGTTTCCTGTCCCCTTTTTATATTTTATATATGTGTGTGTGGGAGAGGTGAAGAGCAGACCATGTTGAGACCAAAATAGTTTCAACGTTTACAGTACAGACAGTGATTGTTAACAAAATCAATTATGTCCTAGTGTATCACTCTAGTCACTGGAATTTATAACCTTGTGTTCCATCTGGTCTGCACTCTATCACAGTATTACTGTATACTGTATGTACTTATATTATGGTTTTATATTCATTATTATGCACATATATGCAGTTCTGGACAATTTATGGTGGGTGGCAGAGGGTGAAGGGGACTATTAAACATAATTCACTATATCACAATGGGTTGGTCCCAAGCACAACAAAATACTAAAACAATTGTATTTTGCTGAGGCATAACAATAAATATATAGCTTCAGCAAACATTCTATTTACAGTTAAGCTAGTTTGTAAGCAAATTTATAGACAATAAATGAAATTGTAAATGTCACTGAATCTGTTAGGAAAAGCTTTGGAAAAATATGGGTTCTTTTTCACTCTGACTTCAAAATATTTTCTATATCATTGCTGCCAGTCAAAGCCTTTTCTTTAATCAGTCCTTCCAATTTATAAATTCTGGCACAGCCTTTACTACTTTAAACCCAACCACTGAAGTGGTTAGCGTTAAATTACAGCATGCTTTCGCTCCACCTGTCAACACGAGAACTTGCTCACTGTATCCATTTATAAACATTAACAATGCCATCATTATGGAAGGCCCTTATCATAAACCTACCTTTCCAGATTCATTATCCCATATACAATTTCAGTTATTGTACCTAATACATGTGACTACTTATTCTATTAATTAAAGTCAGGGGTTCATCTATCTCTTCTCATTCCAGACAATACCATCTATCATAGAATAGGATGATTAAAAAAAATTGGCTGCATCTGTCTTTCCTGATAAGTTACTATGATGTTATCAAATGATAATATACAGTTAAGATTATCAGATACTATGCTAACAACACAACATACCTAAAACCTTAAGCCTCTTATCCTAAGACCTGTAGGCACTAAACGTAACTCACCTTGTTTTGGGGGGTTGAAGACGTGACCCTGGCCGAGGGATCCCTGTCATTTTAGGTCTTGGGATTTCTGTTGGTTGTGGGAGTCCTGAAGCTCCCCCTAATGGTACACGCACAGGTGATGGCGCACTTAACCGACTCCTCATCTAAACAAAGTTTGCATATTAAGGTTATGTAATAACAACAAAATGTAAGATTAAAATGTGAAATCCCATTGGTATGGCTGTGAAGATGAGGTAAACAATGTGTGAGACCTACCACCCCTGGTAGAGCCTGTTAAGTTACATGGAGGGGGTGACAGGACTGGTCTTCACATATTTCTCAGAGCCACCATGAGTGATTCATACAGACACCAAACTTAGTATTAGTCAATTAGATTACAGATAAGTCAAATATCAGGTCCCCTTGGAGGCACGCTTAGAAATAACTTGAAATTTAGCTAACCTAATTATACTACCCAGGTTTGGTAAAGTAATTAGCAGGGAGAGTAAAAATTTTATCCACACAATAAAGAAGACTGGATCCAATAATTTTTCATTAGTTTATCCCAATATTACCTGAAACCGCATATAAAACATTAGCATTCACAGAATGAGAACACTTCACTAGACACAACAGTCTGTTGGTGCACCTCTTCCACTACCTGGCAAAGAGAACCCCCACCCTTCCCTCTCCTTATGTCACAACACCCTGCCACACATCTAACAGATAGCACATGGGATCCAATGATGTTCTATTTTGTAACCTGTATTAAAACTACAACCATGCAAGAAATGCATGCATTCAGAGATAGAGGTGAAATGTTTGTTTAACATCCTTAGTCAGGCTACTACTGCGAGGTTCCTTAGGGACATTTCGGAGGTTTTACTATAATATAAACAAACGCAGATCTGCCACATCTCACAAAATGTGCCAACCGCTGAAACAGGTGGAACCATGAGCGACTGTACATATGAATGGAGTAACAGCAAAAGAAATCAAAATCCAGTGATGAAGATCCACAACAATTAGAAGGAAAAGTTACTAACTTGAGGAGCTTGTAATCTAGAGGTTCTGGGTCCATGACGTAAATCTGTCTGAGAAGCGGTGGGTGAGCCATGAGATCGGGATGGAGATGCTCCACGACTACTACTAGGGGTGTGGTGGTCCAGTAACCGAGGATCACTGCCGCCTAACCCCCGTTGCAGCCCGCTTGGTTGACGTAATCCACTCCTACCTATTAAGAAAACTTGTAGTATTAAAAAAATTAAAAATGTAAACAGCATTACTGGAAAATAATATACTGTACTGTACATACTTTGTGGATAAATCTTTGTTAGTGTTTTAAGGGCAATGTGAAGGAAGGTAAAGATTTTGACAAAATAAAATATTACAATAAAACCTCCATTTTGTAAAATTCATGTACAGTACAAAACTGTACATGGAATTTGGGCAATAGAAAAATAAAAATAAATGTTGTAGAGTCTAGACCTTGGCAACTTGTGTATTAAAACACTGTATCCTCAGCTGTATGCCCAGGTTTACTCCTACACAACACACTGGAATTAATTCAAGTATTAGGTGCATTTTGCCATTACATGCAATTCCTTAGGAACTTGGATATAGGGGGTCTCTCTGTTTTAAATAAAATTGTCTCGCATTAACCAAAATATAATTTAAAATTGGCATCCTGTAGTGAAGGGCTAAACTGGACCACCAGAAGAACAGTCACCAATAAGCAAGGAATTGTTAATGACATATCAGACAATATGCAGTATCTTTCAATCAAGTCAGTCATGTTAGAAATACAGTTGAAAGAACAATGATTTTCGGTCAACTTCTAAGCTACCCAAAGGTAGCCATGTTGCTCACTTCTGGGGTCAGCCAAAAAATGAGGTGTCAGGATCAATCCTTCACTTTTAACCAACACCCTCCACTTGGTGACTCATGTATATGAGACCAGCTAAATAATGGGAGGAGGAAGAGGTGATGTAAGTGCTCCAAATACTACTGTGAAAAGTACCCCAATAGGGAAAGTAAGCATAAATTTATATTTAATAAAACGATACAAGAAAACTATAACAGAATTTCTTTAAACCTTACAATTTTCCTTACACAAAAATACATTTTAGTGTAATGCAATCACTAAAATGTGTCGAAAACTTCCCACTTGATAGAAAACTGTTCAACTGACCAGGACATTGGTGAACATGACTGAGTTTCAGCCAAGCAAGCATAGAAAATGGTAATAAATTTCAGATAAAAGAACTTCATATTAATTTTCTCCACATAAAAGCTCTTCTGTTACATAATGCTTCTCTTGGGTAGTTCAGGCTTATAAAGTGCATTTACGTTTGTTAGGTATTGACTGGGTGTTTGGGTATTTTTCATGAGGATGGTGACCATGTAAAGGACAAGCATGATGCTCAAATGCATGGTAATTTTAAAGCACTGCAGGAGATTTCTAGCCCAACATGGTGGGTACTGCATTTCCCGGCTCATAAGATGCTACATGTGATAAGACACGCCCTATAATTAGCAAAGTTTATTTTGGTAAAATAATTTTTGCAGATTTAATAGTCTACCGTACTGACAAGTCCAAGTCGCTGGCTATATGCTGTCATGTTTCTCACTACCACAGTTAACTTATCACTTTATGGACCTATTATCAACCATTTGTTGAAACAATACAATATGCTGTAAGGTGGTCGGTCAATTCAATCCTTTTGTTTACAGTATTTGGATCTAGAAAGGCAATAAAGGCAGTGAAATTGGAACTTGAAAAAGTGTGTTCTTCGGACTTTTGGGGATCAGGGGAAGCAATGTGAATTCAAGGTTCATCAAAGGGTGGAGGGGCAGCTCCAAATTTTTAAGAACCACTGACCTACCCTTTAATAGACACCATACAAGTGTAAAATCCCAAATACTTTGCATGGAAAGTTGATCAATGGAGTCTTACCATTACAAATTTCAAGATTGTGCTGTGAATTATAAGGACTATCTGGTGGTGTAGAGAGATCAGAACCCTCTCGTGATGGGGTTGTGTGTGCAGAGTAACGCGTTGGGGGCTGGAGACCTCGGGCAGGGCGACGGGGACTGGCCATGAGATTGGGTGGGGCTATGAGATCCTCCTGAGAACTCGTCGCTGAACCCCCAGAGCCCGTAGAAGAATATGGGATGCCAGTAGTCCCTGTGCGTATACCTAGTGGGAGTCATAATGAATTATTATTAGTCACACAGATCATGCCCTGAAATACATCAAATATTAAAATAATGAGGAGGAATCTGAAGTTCCAATTAACTATTTTCATAACTTTCTTTTAAAATGCATCTAGGAAACAAAACACATGAACTTTACGAGATAAATTACAGTATTATTAAATAAATTTGAAGACTTACAATTCCATTAATTAAGTTTGTATGTAAAATATATATATATATATATATATATATATATATACAGCTAGACCCCGACTTACGACTGCTTCGACTTACGACCGTCGGGACTTACGACCGCCGCAGTTGTGACCATTTTTTTTTCAATTTTTTTTTTTTTAAATGACGCACGCATTTTCTATACCGAAACGTTTCCAGTTAATGTAGTCTCCATGTATAATTAGAAAATTATGGGGGCCCCATGTGCATTCAGCTGACTACATTAAAGGTAAGTGCTCAGTCACACTGTATCCATTCCTCATTATTTGTTACTTTCACTGTACTGTATCTATTCCTCATTATTTATTACTTTTACTGTACTGTATTTCATTGTAGATTTTCTATTAATTTTTTTTTTTTATCTATGTCGGACTTACGACCATTCGGACTTACGACCTGGATTTGGATCCCTAACCCCGTCGTAAGTCAGGGTCTAGCTGTATATATATATATGTGCATAATTTTTCAATTTAAAAATTTGTTTCTGCTTGCAAGAAAGTCTAGCACTGTTTTTTTTTTTTTTTTTTTTTTTTTACTCTCCAAATATCTGTATGTGTTTTCTAGCTACTGTAATTGTGGATTTTTCACTGAGAATCTCTTCATGGTGAACAGGCATGCATCTACAATCATGCATATAATATACTCTAGAATATTAAGCAAAAACAACACTAAAACATTTTGGTTCCATTTCCTTTACACTAAATGATGGTGGCAACCTTTTCGGTCCTGAGCAGTTGAGGTGGAATCTTATCTCTTTAGGCTGTACCACTTTACACAATACTGTATTGTATTGTACTTGTAAAAATAAAACATAAATGACTACATTTTCTGAGCATTAATACAACCCTGTGCCTGACAAAGTGACGTGGCTCCTGGCTGGTGCTGAAGCCATGGTTGACATTTCCAAGGGCATCCAATATCATAGCACCTCTTACAGTATAGATATACTTTTAGTACCATAATTAGCCGATTTGTATTAAATTTTCATAACATATTTATAATATACAGTATATGATGTAAACACATGGTAATAGGAAAAACTATTTTGAAATACTCTAATGAGTTTCACAGTAGTGGTGGCAAGTTTTGGTAATGGATGGCACCAATCTCTCTCTCATTATGGGTCCTTAATGGAAGTGGGATAAGTACATTACTGATTCTAACTGTACAAGAGACAAGTATGGATGGACAGTAATGCTTTCATCAAGGCTAGAGACAGTGAGGAGTCTAACACAGCACTGTTGTCATGGTAACCAGTGCTCTGCTGTTGTGAATGTGAGGCCCTGTTGTCATGGTAACTAGATCTCTGCTGTGTTGTGAATGTGAGGCTTTGTTGTCATGGTAACCAGTGCTTTGCTGTTGTGAATGCGAGGCTCTGTTGTCATGGTAACCAGTACTTTGCTGTTGTGAATGTGAAGCTCTGTTGTCATGGTAACCAGTACTTTGCTGTTGTGAATGTGAAGCTCTGTTGTCATGGTAACCAGTGCTTTGCTGTTGTGAATGTGAAGCTCTGTTGTCATGGTAACCAGTACTTTGCTGTTGTGAATGTGAAACTCTGTTGTCATGGTAACCAGTGCTTTGCTGTTGTGAATGTGAAGCCCTGTTGTCATGGTAACTAGCACTGCTGTGTTATGAATGTGAGGCTCTGCTGGCATGGTAACTAGCACTACTGTGTTGTGAATGTGAAGCCCTGTTGTCATGGTAACTAGCACTGCTGTGTTGTGAATGTGAGGACCACAGGAATATCAGCACCTTGTTTCTCAAGAGTTTGTATACTGTACTGTAATTTGATGAACATTTTAATCTATAAGAACAACAAATATAATAATAATAATAATAATAATAATAATAATAATAATAATAATAATAATAACAATAACAGTGATTGCTTGTACGTAATATTATTATTATTATTATTACAATAACCATTATATATGACGTCACCTTTGAAAGCACTTGGTGAACAGAGGTACCATTTTGGTTGTTTACTACTCGTTCTCAATGTTGGTCAGGCTACCTTGTCTCTGTTTTAAGTTGAGTTATCTGACAATATCTCTCTCATTATAGGTCCTGACAGGGTTATTGAACAAGGATGTGAACCAAAATATAAACGTTATTTTCTCATTGTGTCCATTTAAATGACTTTGCAGGTCTTCTGGTGGTAAAGTGTGGATGGTCCAGCAACATATCCCCCGTTCTGTGTTATAATGGCTTCCCCAGTCACAGATTCCTCAGCTACGGGCTTGCCAAGGAACACATCCCCTGATCGGGGAGGGCAACCCGTACAGTATACAGATATACTGTATACTGTATTTATCATAAATATTTGGGAAATTTTACTTTAGGATGAAACAAAGACCAAAAACTAATTCAGTGGAACACAAGTAACTAGACAAATTTGGTAAAGAAAGATAAAAGCTAAAAATGTAAAAATTAGATGAGAACTGTTGGGTCAATGTGTGAGGCATCCAAGCCTTGATAGGGTTATGTCCAATTTATGGGGGACATCATGAGTACTCTTATTTTAATTATTTTAACCCTTGCACATTTCACAACACTCAGAATATCATACACTTTTAAACTACAGTTACAGTACATGTGCTGAGCCTACAGTGATGTAGAAACTCATGTTAGATGTGGTTTCCACTGCACTTATGATTCACATTAAGTGAGCTGAATGAATAGAAGATGTTTATATCACCAGTCCTGGTCAGGTGATGCAAAACGTCAGCATTTTTCTTGGATGTTAAGTCACAGGTTCCTCTTATCTCCCTATATATTTGAATTTGCCAAAACACCAGTTTGCCCAGGAGGAGATAACATCTTGAAAGACAACGTGGATACTTTGCAATAAAATGCAAGGAAGCTGGGAGGCTTCATCAATACACATACAAGACTGGAACCCCTTTCATTCAGAAATGTAATTAAACAATGGTCATCAGGAGCTTCAGATCATGATGAATCCCAGAAGTTTGAAGGAAGAGCTGCAAACACTCACAAGTAGAGTTTGCTCCTGTACACTCTAAGAGTCTAGACACTACTCAAACTCAGGAGGCCAAGATGTGCCATTATGTCTGATTGAAATTATAGTCTAAGATCCCTTATTAATGTCTCAGGCTCTAATCATCAACATAAGAATCATGTTTATTCTGGGGACCATCTTAAACCATTCTTGTTCTGGAGGAAACCATCAACTCCTTTGTGAGGCAGCATTATGAAAATTAACTACTGTACAGTCGTACTAAAGGTATTTTTCCTACTTTGTATAGGAATGGATTACATATTGCATGTTTAATAACTGTACCTGTACAGTATTAGAACTGAAAATAAGAAACACTTAAGATAATTGATGAAATATGTAATACAATACAAAAATATACATTTCTTAACAACCTTAATCAACCACTACACCATCCAGCTGTTAACCAGATAATACAGAAACACGTTGTCAACATAACTGCATCAACATAAATTAGATAAATATTCTTTTAAGTAATAATAACTCATTGTAGAGAGAATTACCCAGTCTGTGGTGGAGAAACCTAATAGTGTGTGTGTGTGTGTGTGTGTGTGTGTGTGTGTGTGTGTGTGTGTGTGTGTGTGTGAGCTACCTTGTTACATTGAAAAAGTCTAATATCTGCTGTGATCACCAGGAGCTTCCAGCATTATTTAAAATTTTTTATTCTACTACTTCTATGTGCACTCTAGTTACTATTCACCTCTGGACTATCAGGTGCATGCATCCCAAAGCAAATTTTCCTTTCAAAACCATACCCCCCCCCAAAAAAAAATCTTTACAGAGGTCTACTTTTCATGGTGTCTATGTAGCTTAAGGACATAATATATATGAATCCCACACATCCCAAATGTCTGTACATGACCAAAACTAGTGCTCTTGTTTTTAGACCATAATTGTTACCACATGAAACTTTGATAATCTCTTTAATTAAAAAACAATTAGACTACAGAGATCTCTAACAAACGTCCACCAAAATGTCTGCATCATGCAAGGAGTAAACAAAGGAACTAATCAGACAGACTACAGAACTGATGCTATAAACACTGAGGACATTTGCACCAAGAAGTGTACACATACTTCCGTTTCTCTCCTCACCCACCCACTAGAAACAATGGTAGATCATAACCTAGCTGTCTATAAACTGGCTATTTGTTAAGTTTAATTACCCAACTCTATAAAAAGCCTTCATGACAGATTTAGTATGTGGATGTACAAAAAAGGAATACAGTACAGTACAGTACTTTGATGTCACAAGTTGCACTCAAAAATCGTCCTACTTCCTAGACTTTCGGCTTTTTATAAACAGTATACGTATGCCACACAACTATTATGTTCTCTACATGGTTTTTGTTTTCTATTCAGAGACTTCTATTTCATTTAATTTCATCCTTGAGTCCTCTCACTTCCTACTATCTCTATATCCTTCTGTTTCACTGCTTCTTTCCCTTTTATCCACATCTCCACATTCTTCTTTCCTTTTATCCATACCTTTCCCTCTTACTTACACAAGCTGAGACAACATATTTGTTTATTCACACATTATTACCTTTTAACATAAATAAGAGGTAACTTTAATACCCATATATGGCTGTATCATATACAAGGGGTATTATTAATGGTATATGTGGCTGTAATCATATAATATCATGTAAGGGTATATGTGGATATATCATATACTGCAATATTACTGGTATCTGTGGCCGTACCATATATTATTACCAGTACAGTCTATGTGGCCGTATCATATAACATTGAAGTAAGAGGCTTAAAATAAACACCAGAGAGTAAGTTGGTGTGGCGGGTCCTCCTTCAGACGAGGTGTAATGGATGTAAATGCAAAGATTAATTTTACGATACAGTACAGTATCAGGTAATATGCATATTTTTTAAGTAACTGGAAAATACTGTAACAGTGTACACTCAGTTTAATGAAAGAGACAAATTTTATCAATTTTATCATAGCCAGTCAAATAGTCAGCTTGATTCTTTGGTAGATGTTCTAAGTGTTTATGTTGCCAAGTTCTATGACATCTGAAGAAATATTCTTGGTAAGATATCAAAACATTCGGTGAGGAGTTTTTCATTAAAAAAATAAATAAATATACTGTATATATATATATATATATATATATATATATATATATATATATATATATATATATATATATATATATATATATATATATATATATATATATATATATATATATATATATATATATATATATATATATATATATATATATATATATATATATATATATATATATATATATATATATATATATATATATATATATATATATATATATATATATATATATATATATATATATATATATATATATATATATATATATATATATATATATATATATATATATATATATATATATATATATATATATATATATATATATATATATATATATCACAAAAGAATGAAACCATTCAAATTCAAATAGTTCAAATGGTATGTGTGTGTATCTAATGTCTTACTCAATACAACAAGTCTAAATTTTCCCTAGTCAAGAACACCCTATATTATATTCCATACATCGGTACATCCATGAAATGTCAACAACAAAAATGGGTCCTATTCAAAAGTCTGCTCATGTACCCAGCTTTAAATGCAGGCAGTGATAATAACTACATTCAGATAGATAATCCAAAGCATTTACAAACCAAAGGGAAAAAATAGTAGAAAAGCATTACTGTAGGTACACTGCGTGTCTGAGCAAACAAGCAATGCTACAACAAACTGGTAAAATAAGTCGGTCAGGCTGAGAGTCTGCATTCAGGACACTCACATCAAGACAAGAACAATGTACAGTACTAAAAATAAAATGAAATGTCAATATTATATCCGGGGTTGTGTGAAGCACTAAAGGTAAACCAGAGGGATATTTTGGGCCCTTATTGTGGAAGGGGAACACCATACTGACACACATACTGTATATTACAATAGTTAAGGAACATATGGCAGCAAATAAGAGAGTTGTGTTACAACTAAACTGACCAGCAGCAGTAATGGACTTGTAAGAGATAAGGGGTAAAAAAATCTATATTTTCTTTTATACAATATAAGGAGCAATATTCTTTTCAAGTGAAATAAAAGCATACTGTGGAAGGAAGTACTTTATGCTTACCAAGGTGTCATTTCCTATACCTGTACAATGTTCTGTCATAATCATTCTACAATGCAGAAGATCCTAAACTTTGTTAACTTCTCTCACTAATCATGGTACAGGTATGTAAATAATTTTTTAATGCAACACTGCAATGAGTGAATTAGATATTATTGAGTGAGCATTTTGTAAAATATGTTAGTGCTGCATTACACTTGAGTAGAGACTGAATGCAGGTCTCCAAAACATGCATGTCTATTTTGAAATGCAAGGATTGTGGATGCCCCTAAAGATGCAGTCATCATGCAAACACAAGGCTCAAAGGTGATTACATCAACTTTCTTCTTAATATAATTGGTTTCAAAATAAATACGTTCATATACGTACATACAATAATCGTATTAACCACAATAAATCTTTAAGGCCACAATTATACCTTATAAACCAATCACTTTTGAGCCTGGCTATGAGACCCATAATAAATATTAACCCTAAGCAAGTCATAAGCCACATACCTGGTAATCTTGAACCTCTTCTTGGGTCAGGAAGCTTTAAACCTGCAATTTGAACCCCTCTTCAGTTAATAGTTGGAGAAAGATAGCAAGAGAGAGAAATGAAGGGAGGTCAGTGCACTACTGTAGGAAAAGAGGGAGCATGGAAGTGCAGGATTATTGCAGTAATGTCAAAAATGTCCCTCACATAATATAACCTTAAGAAACACATCCATTTTTTTCTTGATGTCTAGTCCTTGTAAATACTGGCAGAGCACCAAATACCCAAACCACAACATTTGAGGTTGTCCACACTATCATTTATAAAAAAAACTCTTCCTTTTATGTAAGAACTAAATTATATTAAATCCAAAGTTACAAAGATGATTCTATAGTTTAAAATACAGTACTTGAATAAATAGCATTAAAAACCCACACTTATGCAGGTAACATCCCTCTCTACAATTTCTAACATATGCGCATTCCCTCCTGCATTATCTTCATTACCTAGAGCACATAGATACCAGGATATAATGTAATTTAGCTGCTACATTTGATAACAGTTGAAGGAAATATTTATATAAATTGTCAGTGGAATTCAAATTTAGTCCACAGGGAAATAATTAACTCGCTTAGCTGTGACAATCGACTCTGGTCATAGGACCATCAGAGCTGGCACATTAAAGTTCTACCTTACCCAGCATCTGTTATCTTTCTGATGTTGATGGAGATTATATGAGTTATAGTCTATAGATTTTTTGGCACGTGTATGCATCTAGGGTAAGCTATAACTTTGGAGTTTTAGAGTGCATGAATTTCAATTTAAGTACCTTGTATCATTAATATATTCATAGAACCTAAACTGACTTAGAAAAGTATAAAATAACATGTTTACATGTTTTAATTTTACTCATCTAACAATAATTTTAGAAGACTTAATAAAAATTTAATTTCTGTATGCAGCCAATGGGTTAACTGGAGTGAATTATAAAGTAGTTCTAGATTCCAACACTATAATCTGTGGCACCAAAAATCTAACATTCTGATAAAGATTTGCTCGGGTTTTATAATTATGCTATTTTTCCCAAGGCATCACTGTGTATGTTTACACACACAGTGTCATGGAAAATATAAGAATTTCATTTTGAAATAAGTGAATATGGAGAATGATTACAAAATAATCACCATAATAACCTGGAAGTTTCTTATTTTAACTCTGTCGACCTCACACTTAAGGGAAAATAAAGATGACCTAAGAGACTCTCGTTAGAATTTGTCATTACTGCATGTACCGTGGCATTATTGTGGGTTACTGTTGGGTAATAAAGTAGTAAAAGGGGTCTGGTCAAAAGGCAAGAATGAGTTAAAAGTTCCAAACATGTCAGGCTGTAGAGATTTCCAAAGGTCCTATAACATAAGTGATAAAATGCAAGAAGACCTTAATGAAACCTAGAATAAGTTGGTGATCGTTAATTTCATCAACATCCTGGCAGGCAAAATGAAGAGCTGATGAGTAATGAGACTTACCAAGACTTAGTAAACTGGGACCAGGTTAGTAATAACCATAGTCAAATTAAATGCCTTCTTCATCATCCAAAACTCAACAGATGTGATCCTTTATTATTAGACCTATCAGTGAGAACCTTGTGAACTGTGGTACATACACTGTACTATTGTTCTTTACAAACATCAAGGGTGTTTAGTGCCTAACCAAGCTTTACATTATTCCCTGCTCAAACAGAGTAGTGCATGCTGGGTATCATATAAAATTTAGTTAGCATTTATCCATATACTCTCTGAGGTTGAAAACACAATAGCAATGATTGGAGTATTTACTATTAAAGTGTTATAAACGTGGAAAGATGTATTTAATTCGCAATCATAGTTGCCCAGAAACTCAGGTTCTCACTAATAAGACATAAATAATCAAGGTATATACTGTATATATATATATATATAGATTGTTACATTGAAGATTTTAAATAAAAAATTACTGTCACATGCTTGAAGTTCTTGGTCAGATTAAGAAATAAAATATTTTTATACAAAAGCCTGTACATCCTGAGTAAAAGGAATATCATGTAAAAAATTAATGGAGGCATTATCTTATTCTACTATCTCACTTACAACACCCACCTCAATATAATTTTCCTAACATAAAGGTACAACCTCTGAGTCACACATGGCTAACATCCTCATTTAATACTGTATTATGTCCTGCTTCTAATACCATTAGGACTGAAAAACTAGAATATTGTTATTAGGTTCCTCATAAATTACCTTCCTATAATTAATTGGTTTCTCCCAATACTAGAGTTGTATGACTGAGGGTGATGGTAATACATGAATTCCCAGTGTGATATCTTTAACCAATAAAATACTGTAAGTGGTATACAGTAGTAGGTCATAAAATATTAACAACTGAATTATTAAAATTCATATTGTTCAGTACTATGATTCATTCTTCCATGAATGAGGAAACACCTCAGAAATATTCCTTCAAGCATTTAAAGACCTTTGATAATGTGTGAATATTATACTGTACATGTATTCTAAGATACTGTATTATGTTAATTAAATAATAACTCCCTTCAAAGTTGTCCAAAAAATTTATCTTATTTATATTACTGTACTTCTTGACTACTTAGTTCACTGATCAGCTGTCCTTAAAAAATGTACAACTCTGAAAGTCTTAATAAAATCTATAAATCAAGACTCAAGCAATGTTTGGAAGATCACAAACATTCTGCATACCGGGTAGTAAATAACTTTCACTGAAAGAAAGGAATTTCTGTGGCCAGATGAAAGAGCTTCCTATAATAGAGAATAAATGGTGCTCTGTACTCATATATATTATGGAGATCATGTACTGTGTACTGTATTTACAAATTGCAAACAGCTGGTGTTCGTGTGATAGCTAATGATCTAATAATGTTTTCAAAATGTTTAGACATTTTCTGTAGGTTTAATTTGATTCATGCAGGGGCTAACCTTGCTCTTAACAAACTTGTGTTGGGATGTAATACCATATATTAAATTCCATTATAAAGTTATGAGACAATATGATGTCTGTTGTATTAATTTCTGAAACCTTTAGTTAAATATTACAAATCCAAGTTCTTTTGTTGCACTTAAGAACATAAGAACATAAGAATGGAGGAAACTGCAGCGGGCCTATTGGCCCATACTGGGCAGTCCCGTTTACACCCAACCCCTATTGCTCATATAAGCATCCAACCTATGTTTGAAGCTATTCAGCAGATTCGAGTTAATGATGATATTTGGCAACTTGTTCCATTCATCCACAACTCTGTTTCCAAACCAGTGTTTACCTATTTCACGCCTAAATCTAAATTTGTCTAATTTAAAACCATTGTTACGAGTTCGCTCCTGGTTGGATAGTTTGAGTACCTTTGTAATGTCCCCGTTGTTTAGCCCTGACTTCCACTTATACACCTCTATCAGGTCGCCCCTCGCTCTACGTCTCACGAGGGAGTGCAAATTAAGGTGCTTTAACCTGTCTCTATACTCAAGGTTTCTAATGCCCGGGATTAGTCTTGTCATTCTCCTCTGAATTCTTTCCAATGATTCTACCGTATATCCATTCTGTAATACGGTGACCAGAACTGAACTGCGTAATCCAGGTGTGGTCTCACAAGAGCAAGATACAGTTTTACGATGACCTCGCTAGTCTTGTAACTAACACTCCTTTGTATGAACCCAAGTACTTTATTAGCCTTGTTACGAGCAAAAACACATTGTTTACTTGGCTTAAGGTTCCTACTTATCATTACTCCTAAATCTCTCTAAGTCGGATTTCTATGGCATCGTTGTTCATCTGGTATCTGGTTTCCCTGTTTACATCTCCTATACTGAGTACTTTACATTTGTCCACGTTGAATTTCATCTGCCATTTTTCAGACCATTCGAAAAATTTGTTTAGATCTTCCTGTAGTTTTGCAGAGTCCTCGTCAGATTTAATTACACGTCCTATTTTAGTGTCATCAGCAAATTTACTTATGTTGCTGTCTATGCCGATATCTATGTCGTTTATGTATATAATAAATAATAATGGTCCAAGTACTGAGCCTTGGGGAACTCCACTTGTGACGTTGCTCCAATGGGACTTAGTGCCGTTAATGCTCACTCGCTGTTTCCTGTCCTGTAACCACGCCCTAATCCATTTAAGGATGTTACCTTTGATGCCATGAGCTTCTACCTTTCTAATTATTCTTTTGTGGGGGACTCTGTCGAAGGCTTTGCTAAAGTCGAGGGAATCTATCTCCATGCCAAAAACTATATGCAGATTTTTTTTCCATTCTGGTGATAAATTAATTTAATACAGTAGCATCAATCTTTTTAAAAACCACTGAGTTGAGTAACAAAAGACTATGACATTAGAAAGAATTACATCTAATGTTTTTTGGGGGTTGGTGTGCATTGCCTTCTTTGTATAATAATCAATTATGTCCAATGTTTCATCACATAAACCTCACATACTTGTGTGAATACAAATGAAGAGTTATACCCACTTGACACCCATCTAGCTGCCCATGAAATTATACTGACATTTAAAAAAAAAGGCTTGACATGGTTCTGTGAAAGCCTCCATCATCACCTCCCTAAATATCAGCCCATAATCCTCTTCACATAAAACCATCAATAACACCAAGCAACAGTCATACTGACTCTCTTCCTGCAGTCGAGCCAGAGCATTGACGTCTGCCACATCTGCTAAATGATACGAAAAGCTCCCTTCTGAAGCCGAACTCAAGCGGTCGTCCTCCTCTGACCCCAGTGACCCACTCGACCGTGCCAGGTACTCTCGGGAACTACCATCTGTAAAATGGGATAGTCTGAAATATTTATGCCATCTCAAGTGTCAGCAAAATTTTACTAATAAATACTGCACTGAAACTTTGGTGATACACATCTCTTTTTTCTTCAAACTTTTACCTTGTATACAGTACATAAAAAAAATTATAAATTGAATCATAAATATTTATCTTTTTTAAACAGTATCTATTTTGAACTGTTACAAAGTAGCTTTGTGCAAAATCTAAACTAATTTGTTACATTTCATAGGAACTGTAGACTTATTATTATGTTGCTGTTTGTAACTCAAACCTTAAAACTTGGAATAATACCTTTAAAAAGACAAGATGGAAGTAAAGCTACTTAAAAACCTTTCTGCCATCTGGGACACCAAACACTGATGTAGACACTTTATTAACATTAGCCACCAAAGATGCCTTACACTGTCACTGAACACATATTTAAGAGAGGACTACCCAAGGAACATTTCTGGAAACTTGTACATTATCAAAATTTTACCAATAATTTACAATAAGTAAAAAATATGAAAAGTTTATGAATGAACAGACAATGGACAGCTGACCAAAGCAATTATATACATCAGGCGTCCCAAAACTTGTTTTGATATCAATGAACCGTCTGTACTGATTTTCATAATGAACAATGTAGCACACCTGAAATTAAATAATGCACAATGTGTAATAATACACACTAAAATAGACTACCTGTATGTCCTAGAGAATGTCTGTTTCCCTATAGAGTATTGCTACAGTATAGACATAAAAGTACAGTACTGTAATAGGAACTCATCTACGGCATGTTTTACCGAGTTGTAATTTTGCACTTGACAGCTCTCTCCAACAGATGTTTATTGAAGTGTGTGCCAGGCAGACACATGTCATGAAAGATAGTTTGGGGACCCTTGATCTATTTTCTTTTTCATTTTTGTTGAATGATAAAACATATAGATAGCATTATAAATGTTATTTACCCCTCGGTTGCTAGGGTAGACAGGAACAAATCAATCAACAAAGAAACATTATGCTGACAATCATATGTTTAAGAAATAGTCTAGGTAACACAAATATAGTACAACAGAAATAAACCAAATGGATATCTTGGGGCTGTATTGTTGAAACTGAAGACCAAAGAAAAATAAATCTCTTAGAAACATTAGAAAAACGAATTGACAGCAAATAAAGAGAAAACTTTTACAAGATTGAAAAGATAACAATAATCACTTAAGTTGCCATGCCAGCATGCAATGATGGCAATGCATACAAAATATGTGACTTATCTGTGGTCAATGGTCACAAGTCGCCCTCCAAATTCCTTCAATATTTCAACACGTCACCAAACTTCCATAACAGTTGTTCAAAAAAAGCTTTAATTCTTTAACAGCTCCCCACATCCAACACATAAAAACATCCTTCCAAACTACAGTACAGTATATAAAATATTATTCTGTACAATCCAGTATTGCTTTAACAGCTTAATTCAATGAAAAAATATGTCAATCTCTCCTTCAACAGATTTTGAACAGTACTCAAACACTTTATCATTTACAATAAAACATCTTAGATATACAGTAGTAAAAAATAAATAAATACTCTAAGTAAATAATTCGTACCCTTCAAATTCAAGCTCACTCATAATTCGTAATGCTTTCCTGCTATGAATTATATATTAATTTTTCTTAATACAGTACTGTACAGTATTTGGTAAAATGTCAAAATATGAGAGACATTTTGAAATATTACAAATACAGTCTCTCCCCGACTTACGACGGGGTTAGGGACCCAATTCCAGGTAGTAAGTCAAATTGGTCGTAAGTCGAAAATGCAAAAATAATACATAGAAAATCTAAAATGGGTGTCTCTTTTTCTTCTCAACACCACAAAACTCTCACTTTTAAGCATGCCAGCCATTTTAAATGGAATTACAAACGAAAATTTTTTCAGTACACAGAGCAATCACTAATGTCGGGACTCGAAAATACATAATTTGAAATTTTTTTGGTACGACTGGGGCGGTCATATGTCCGGGCGGTCGTATGTCCGGGTGGTCGTAAGTCGGGTAGGTCGTAAGTCGAGGAGTGGCTGTACTGTACCTGTATTACAATTTTCATAATACAGCATTTGGTAAAAGTTTGGATTATGAAAGACATTTATGAATACATCCCACAGCTGCATGGCCATGGGATGTGACCGCCCGCCTCAATATAAATTAAGTATACAGTCGGCCCTTAACATGCGCGGGTTTAGCATACACAGATTTGCAAATACGCGGATTGCCCCACCAGAGGAATATTCTGTACATTGAAGTACATTCAAATCGCGCGCCATTCAACTCGCACGCGGCACCGAACATGGGACACCGTCCGCTCCCGCAACCTCACACACACACGCATAGCTCTCCCTCACTCAGTCAGCTGTAACCACGCTTGTGTTGACATCAACATTGTAGTTGCAAAAATATTACATTTCCGTGAATGTATTATATCAAGCACAGTATGAATAAAATATCACTAATATAAGAGTATTTTAACCGAAAACTACTCAAAAAACGAGTAACATATCTTGAACATCGGAAGGTTAGGTAAAGTCTTTTGTTTTCATGTAGTTTATCCTAATTTACATTGAAATGCATTACGTTTCAGCAAAACTACTATTTATTTCTGAGAATATGGAAATGTAATATTTTGCTGAAATGACGTACGTATTACAGTGGAAAGTGACGAAAGCAATGACTTTCGCTTTCTTTCGTTCAAAAGATGTTACCGTAATCGCTTTTCGAATGGTTTTCAGTTAAAAAACTGTTGTATTACAATAATATTCTATCCTAATTCACTTATGATGCAACAGTTTTTTTAACTGAAAACCATTCGAAAAGCGATTATGGTAACATCTTTTGAACGAAAGAAAGCGAAAGTCATTGTTTTCGTCACGATTTTATCCCACTTTCCACTGTAATACGTACGTCATTTCAGCAAAAATATTACATTTCCATGAATGTAGTATATCAAGCACAGTATGAATAGAATATCATTGTAATATAACAGTATTTTAACCGAAAACTATTAAAAAAACGAGTAACATCTCTTGAACATCGGAAGGTTAGGTAAAGTCTTTTGTTTTCGTCATGTATTTTATCCTATTTTACATTGAGATACATCACGTTTCAGCAAAACTACTATTTATTTCCGAGAATATATTCATTCAGGGACAGTTTAGGTAAAATATACATGTGCTGTAACATTTTTTTAATTGAAAACGATTCGAAAAACACGTACCCTCTAGCCCTGTTCAAGGAGAAGACTGGGAGGAGCTGTTTGGTGCTTAAGACGATGACAAAAAAAAAATGATTTTGATGGATTTTAATGAAAATATTCAGAAAGACCCTGGCACTGTCAAGGAAAGTGGCTGCTGAAGGCTTCCAGGACATGGCAGAGGACGAGATTAGGGAGCTAATTGAAGAGCACGACACTGAGCTGACCGAGGAGGATCTACAGGAGTTAGTAGACTCAGGCAAGGAAGAGGAAGCAAAAGGGAAAGAGGATGAGGAAGAGCACCAAGAAATAACGTTGGAGAAGTTAATGATAGGATAGAATATTATTGTAATACAGTGCGAGTACAACAGTTTTTAACTGAAAACCATTGAAAAATTACGGTAAAATCTTAATAATGAAAAGAAAGTCATTGTTTCGTCATGATTTTATCCCACCACTGTAATATGTATGTCATTCCAGCAAAAATATTATATTTCCATATTTATTTCTGAGAATACATTATATTCATTCAGTCACAATTAAGGTAAAATATACTTGTGATGTAATATTTTAATGAAATCATGGTATCGTAGTTTTCTTTTGTTTCAAATTTAATTAACAAGATTGATGTTTCAAATGTTATGAACAAAAATTTATGTACAGTATCTATAAATAAACTTTAATAAATGAATACTTTATGTTTTACCTCGTCCTGTGCTACCATACCATGGAATTGGCTACTTTGAGCTTGCTATGATGGCCTAAAGAGATCTGCCCTGGCAACTGTCCGACACTCACAGCTGGTGGTGCGTTGGTGCATCGTTTCATTGTTTACTGGTAGTTACTGGTAAATATTTTTCAACCTAACGAAACTATTACCCGTTTAGAGGTCGACCCCCAATTTTTTGCCAAATAATTTGGTCTTAAAAACTCGAACTACACACAGGTATACTCGGTAAATAAGAACATGGGGCCAGGGTTTTTTTTTTGGTGGGGCAGCAAAAAGTCGCAGTTTTAACATCCACGGGTATCTCTGTTACGTAACCTCCGCGTATGTTAAGGGCCGACTGTAGTACTATACACATCACGCATGTTGCTCACAGTCAGTTCGTGCTAGTCAGTGTTTAAGCCATTATGTCTGATAATCCTAAACCAGGTACTGTACTTAGAAATGTTTAAATATTGATTGGGGCAGATAACAGAAATACTGTTGTTGTTGTTGTTTTTGTTTGTTTTTTTACCCTGGGAGAAGGTGTCACCCATATTTCATAAGCTCTCATAATTCATAAAGGCTAGAGCCCCTGTTATTTTGAATTACTGTCTGGGGTTTTATTGTAGATCTAAAAAAATCTCCCTCACTTTACTGACATTTGTTACTGTCCAAACTCTTCAACACACCTTCACATTTTTAATACTGTATACTATACCACTAATGATCCAAGACAACTTTAACTGACCAATAATAATTCAAAACCTCATATAACCAATCTTAAAAGAATGTAGCACTTTTCTAATACAACTCCAAAGTCATTGAAACATTCAGCTGATTCATATTTTCATTACGTACACATTTTCCAAAAATATTCAAATTCTAAATTTCTTACATAATCAACACACCATTACCGTATATCACTTCAAAACACCTTAAAATCAAAAAAGCTCATCTCTGTATCATCTTGACACATTTTTTAAAAATCCATCCATCCAGTACTAAAGTAATATTGTTCAGCTCCTATGCTAATCTTTTACAATTTTC